ACAACGAGGTCTCGGCCTGCTTCCTTATCCGCAGGTCAGCTACGTCTCTGTTGTTGTACATATTTACCAAAGCTATAAATCGTTTGCTTGTTTAAATGCAGCAAGTGTCTGAATGTCGCTTATATCTGATTGGCTTCAATTTAAAAAAGTCAACTGTCAACACGTTAGCAGCGGTCTTTACCAAAACATTACTGAGATGTTAGAAAGTTAAACAGGCGATCTATCTTTACTGTTCGTGTGTATCTCTATAACTCCTATCTCGTGTGTGTGTGCGTGTGCGTGCAGTGGTTGTGACGTGAACAGCCCCAGGCGGCCTGGCCCTAATGGGGAGGGAGATGAAGAAGCCCGAGATGGACAAACTCCCCTCCACCTGGCAAGCAACTGGGGACTGGAGGATGTGGTGCAGTGCCTTCTTGAGTTTGGAGCCAATGTTAATGCACAGGTTGGACCTGCATGACATCTTTACCCTGGTTTAAACTGCACCACTAATCTTTGTTGGAGGGTTTTATGACGCGATCCAGATTTTTAGAAAATGTAATTGAAACACGACACAACAGATTCAGAGCAGCCAAAAAAAACGGAGCTGAAACTGCTGGCAGAGGATAACAATTCAAAGAGATGCTCAAATAGTTTGCTGGCATTGTTTGAGGGGGAACCTTAAACCTGTACCTGTGTAGTTACTGATGCATGAAATTATCTGTGGACAAAGAACTCAGATCATCAAGCCTTGGTGTGTGTAACTGTGTGCTGTCTGTTAATGCTGTATGTGTTTTTCTGTCAGGATTCAGAGGGCAGAACTCCCATCCATGCTGCTATTAGCAACCAGCACAATGTCATTATACAGCTCCTCATTTCCCATCCAGACATTCGTCTCAACATTCGCGACCGTCAGGGAATGACCCCCTTTGCCTGCGCCATGACGCACAAGAACAATAAAGCGGCAGAGGCTATTCTCAAGAGGGAGCCAGGTGCTGCCGAACAGGTAGGGGCTAGTTTGTTGCTGTAGCGTTAATGAGTGTTGCAGTAATGACCTCAAACGTGTGCTTGTGTCCAGGTGGACAACAAAGGGCGCAACTTTCTCCACGTGGCTGTGCAGAATTCAGACATTGAAAGTGTCCTGTTCCTAATCAGCGTCCAAGCTAACGTCAACTCCAGAGTTCAGGACGCGGCCAAACTCACCCCGCTCCACCTGGCTGTGCAGGCTGGATCTGAGATCATCGTCCGCAACCTGGTAAGAAACCCAAGATTTTCTCCTGTATGAGTCGTATTTCATGCCAGTTTGAGTTGTAATGAGAAAAACACTGCAATGGATACGGTTTCTCCTTCCAGCTGCTTGCTGGTGCTAAAGTGAATGAGCTGACTAAACACAGACAGACAGCACTACATTTGGCTGCTCAGCAGGACCTGGCCACGATTTGCTCCGTGCTGCTGGAGAACGGAGTCGACTTCGCTGCCGAGGACGAGAATGGCAATAATGGTACTTTACAGCATTTGTCTTGTTTTCACTGAAATGACTCTGAGATGGGCAAAGATTACATCACGACTCGACCAGTTCTTTCTGACAAGATCAGAACTGTCATTATAAATGCAGATATATCTGTACGTGATAAGTGCTGTTCCTGAGGTGTTGCATCGTGCTGGTAGATTTGTATTAATCAGAATCAGAATACTTTATTGATCCCTGGGGGAAATTATTTTTTGTTACAGTGCTCCATTTTAAACCAACATTAAGACAAGACAGACAATACACTAAGAATAGTACAATATATACATATATATACATACATACATACATAAATAAGTCACTTATAAATAAATAGTTGGAAAAGAAACGTGTAGTTGTAGCAGCAAACAGTGTGTTAAGTGGATGCGTTGTACAGGGAGATGGCCACAGGCAGGAATGATTTCCTGTGTCGTTCAGTGGTGCTTTTCGGTAATCTCAGTCTCTCACTGAACGAGCTCCTGTGACTGACCAACATGTCATGGAGTGGGTGGGAGGTGTTATCCAACATTGTCTTTATCTTGGACAGCATCCGCCTCTCCGACACCACCTTGAGGGAGTCCAGCTCCGTCCCCACAACATTGCTGGCCTTACGGATCAGTTTATTAAGTCTGTTGGCATCTGCGACCCTCAGCCTGCTCCCCCAGCATGCAACAGCATAGAGGATCGCACTGGCCACCACAGACTCATAGAAAATCCTCAGCATTTTCTGGCAGATGTTGAAGGACCTCAGTCGCCTCAAAAAATAGAGACGACTCTGGCCCTTCCTGTAAAGTGCTGTGGTGTTTTTAGCCCAGTCCAGTTTATTGTCAATGTGTACTCCAAGGTATTTATAGTCCTCCACAATGTCAACACTGACCCCCTGGATTGAAACAGGGGTCAAGTGTTTCCTGGTCTTCCTGAAGTCCACGATCAGTTCCTTGGTCTTTGCCACGTTGAGCTGCAGATGATTCTGCTCACACCACGTGACAAAGGAGTCACAACAGACTGCTGCAAACTGGAGTTTCCTGCTCTGTTCACCTTTAAAACTAGACTGGCTGTGGGATCTGGTGTCAGTCGTTACTATTCCACCACTGCGACCTATTTGTGAATAACTGCGTTCTTTTCTGTCTCGTCAGCTCTGCATCTGGCTGTGATGCAGGGTCGCCTTAACAATGTCAGAGTCCTTCTCACAGAGTCCAACATCGATGCTGAGGCTTTCAATCTCAGGTGATTTATGCAGATACACGTGAACGAACTGTATTAAAACTAATGTGAGAAAAAATCTTCTGACTTTTCATCTCATTGTGTGTGTTTAGGGGTCAGTCACCAATGCATGTGCTGGGCCACTATGGCAAAGAAAATGCTGCTGCCATTTTTGAGTTGTTCCTGGAGTGCATGCCTGAATATCCTCTGGACAAACCTGACAATGAAGGGAACACAGGTACCATGTTGGCTTTTGTAGCTGAAGTTATAAAACTACAATGTGGAAATCACTGGTGCTTTTCTAAAAGGATGACGGCGACATGTATGTTGTTGCAGTTCTGCTGCTGGCCTACATGAAAGGAAACGCAAACCTGTGCCGTGCTATTGTGAGGGCCGGCGCTCGCCTGGGAGTCACTAATAATCAGGGCATCAATATTTTCAACTACCAGGTTGCAACCAAGCAGTTGCTCTTCCGCCTTCTAGGTATCTTTTTCATACCTAATTACCCATCAATATTCCAGTATTATAAACCAACAGCCTCACAGGGAATGGCGTGTTGGGGTGATCTTTGGGATAATTTTCGCCCCCTTCCGCAGATATGCTTTCCAAAGAGCCCCCGTGGTGTGATGGCTCCAACTGCTATGAATGCGGTGCCAAGTTTGGAGTTACAACACGGAAACATCACTGGTTAGTGCTGCAGCTTTTCTGTGTAGGCATGCAGTAGATACAGTATTGGTCTAACTCTCCTTTTTCCTTTTTGCCTCTAGCCGCCACTGTGGGCGTCTGCTGTGCCACAAGTGCTCTATAAAAGAGATACCCATCATCAAGTTTGACTTGAACAAGCCGGTCAGAGTGTGCGATATCTGCTTTGATGTACTGACTCTGGGCGGTGTGTCGTAATGCCCCGGCCTGGATGTCTTTCAACCTCTGGCTCCGACCACGCCAGGTCCAACTTGGCACAATTATTCAGGCACACTGGGAGCAGGACATGCTAACAAGAGAATCCCAGACAGTTATGGACCATCATCTTTATACTATTCCAGTTTATGAAAAACTATTAATCTTTTAGAGGGATGTTGCAAGTAGGAAGTGAAACATTGTTGTTTTGTTTCTGTTTCAAAGTATGTTGAAGTGAATATCAGTGGCTGGACTGAGTTCAGTGATGTTTGCGCCGATGAGCTCTTTGATATCACAAGCAGGTAGCTGTTGTACACGGCATTTCAGTCCACCTTTAGAAGGGGTCTTCCCTTAAACATGCCGACCTGTCCAAATACAACAAAAATATCAATGCTACGAAATGAAACTCTACATTCGTGATGGAGTTGAGGCTGCTGCCAACCAAGAACAAACAGGAAAATGCCCTTTGTTCTAAAGATCGCTGCGTTCTCTGTAATCTTTGAACATTTATTCACTATTTTGTGTTAACTGAGTAAAATGGGTCGAGGGGAAAGCACCTCAACTTGACTAGGTCCAAAGTGAATCCAACCTTTTCTGTTAAACTTTTATATTACTTTACTGCAGACGTGACGGTGCAACTGGAAAAATAAGGTGGTGTTTTGTCCCCAGTTGAGCTTTATGAGGACGCCTCGGCCAAGTTGAATGGAAATGTGACAGGAGAAAGCCCATTTATCACGAGAGCATTAGAAACCTCTCCAAAACATGAAGTACCCCCCCCCTTCTCAGTTACAGAAATGCCTAGTATGCCTATGCATGTCATTTAATTTGCAGCCTTCAAGTCATGGTTATAATTTTAAAATCAGCCACCGAATGATTACATTCCATGTCGGGCCGACCGTGAGGTCCTCGACGGTCCCACGACGTTGCCTCGTGTCAAGTTGTCGTCTTGACCCCATCACATGTAACGCTTCTTGATTTCTAAACCTAACAGGTGCACTTTATCAAGTTCACGTGACATTTCTGATCATTGGGGAGAATGAGGAGTAAGAGGGATGGCCACGTAGTGGGGCCTCTTCAAGTATTGTTAAATTGTACAGATAAATGTGTGATATTTTTGACCACTACAACTGTTTTGTACTTAAATGCAGTTTGTGCTTGTCATTGTGACAAACCTAAATCTTGCCTCTGTTAATCTTTTATGCACATTGTTTAATCTTTTATGCACATTGTATCGTATCTGTATGCTCAGATATCTAGCTCGTCTCTTCCTGGTGTATTCTTTTAGGGAAAAGGAGGACAACTTTACATAAAGGTCATCAAAAAATGCTTTGAGGTTTCATGATTTCGTCTCTTTGTCAAACAATTCAGTTACTAGCCAAAGTTTTCTGAGTTCAGTGCTGCTAAGAAGCAGCTATGAGTGGGCCCATTCTCGGGGCTGACCGGTCTAGTGCGCTCCCACAGAGCATGACTCGGCATGTGCAGGGCAGCCGTCGTATTTCTGCAGGTTGGGGTCTTCCTCTGCCGCGATCGGGTCTTCAACACAGACACAACGAACACCACTGGAGCCGGGAGAGAAGAGCTGCCGTGGCACGCCTGCCCAGTGTCTCGCCACTCCACCGCTGCAGCGAATAAAGAAATAAACTCAACCCTGTGTCTCCTTATGTGCACTCCTCTCGCCCACTAGTGTCAGAAATGCTGTATTACACATCAGTAGGATAATACAACATTGACTTGTTTTCGATTAGGCACAAACTATGTCCATACCTCTTAGTGGAGCACCAGAATCTTCCTCCACTGGCAGCAGTCCATTCTGAGTTACAAGACGGAAAGCGAATCCTCTCAGCCTCAGACTGAGCCTTGAGCTTCTTACCCTCTGCTAGTGATGCTTCTACTCTCAACAGGGCCTCTGTGGGCTCTCCAGCCTCGTTATAGAACCGACCGATTAATACACCTGGATACCAAAACATTAAATGAAAACTTTCTGGGATGTTTAAGGTAAATTGTCTTCATGAAGTGTATGGTCATATCCTAGCTGCACTTTGCTCCCTGAGTAAAGTAGTAACAATATTCGTGTCAATTAACAAAGGAAGTGTTGTTAAGACATTTTAAAGTAACCTTCTGCACTAGGTCATTATAGTGACAACAAACATTGTATACTTTGCGTCTGTTTTGCACATCATAAAATAGGATCTGCACAACACGTACCAAAAATATCTCTTCGTTTCCGAAACAACCAGCCGCACTTGTAGTAACAAGACCATTATTTACTCTGACGGCCACCTGGAGCTGTTCCACTACAATATGATGGAAATCACATACCCACATTTTGGTAGTCCCTCTGGTAGAAGGCCAGCCAGTCGTACAGTGCAACCACCTCTAGGGGGGACAGACTCGATACGTCATCTGTCAGCCCACTCTCTGTGAAGTCTCCGGTGATGAAGGCCAGGGAGGCGTCTTTGCCTGAAAGTACAAACACACGTAGAGACAAAGGCGGAATATAGAGGACTGCTAGGAGAACCACACGTGGAATCCAGTGTCGTTAAAGAAAGCCGGGCATCACCTGCCATAAAGTGATAAGCGCCACCGGGTCCATAGTGCTTTTCTCCCTTGTGTACATCAAAAACATGGCCCAGTATGGCCAGGTATAGCCCCTTGCTGCCCCGCTGCCCACCGTGCAGCGCTAACTCACTCCTGCTTAGGAGTCTGACCGGTGACCCCTTTGATGACTCAGTGCCAAACATAGCTGACCAATCAGGAGGGATGAACAGCACTGCCAGCGACACGGATAAAAGCGCGACCACCACATAGCTGAGCATGCTGCTTTATTAAAGCGCCTTTTCTTTAAGCTTTACATTCAGTCCAGCACACCTCACAGTGGCAGCACAGGTGCTTCCGCGAACGGACATGCCAAACCACAGCGCCTGCGCGAACTACGAACGCAAAGGACGTTGCGGGCGTACAGAACGTCAATGCGGTAGTGGAGTAGAGCTCTGCTGTAGGTGAACGCTGGAGCGGTCTGTGTACAGACCGGTCCAACCGCTTCAGAACTCACGCCCAGTGGGCCGCAGGGGTTTTCAGGGGAGCCTTAGGTCGGCGAAACAAACATGGGCAACGCGGAGAGCGGCTGCGGCGGAGGCAGCGGCGACGAGGAAGACATAGAAACGGAGAGTCCCGGCTTCGCGGAAGACGGTCCGGCCTCTGCGACCGCTGGCGGCGGTGTTGGAGGCGGCGGCGGCGGCTCTGGTTGTGGCAGGAGCGGAAGGGGATCGAATAACCTACCCGTGCCCACTGGTGGACCACCCAGCCCCGGGGTCCTCTTGGAGCAAGTGAAACTGAGAGAAGCGGCGGCTCGTATTAGCGACTCTGGAGTCGCCATTCACGAGTCCGTCCTGGCCGGGAATGAGGGTGTCCTGATGCGGTGGCTCGAGGACCGGTTAAACCGAGGAGAAGAGTCCGTTAATATTGAGCAATTTTGTGAGATGTTAGAGAGCAGAGATGCCCCGAGGGACGAGTGCGAAGAGGTATAAACCCGCTGTGGCCTTGCTCACGTTTCTAACGTCACATGTTATGATTGGAGCCGTCGCGTCTTCTCGTTTTTGGCCCAGGTTCGAGCGTCGTGTTTGATAACTTGTCGCCACGCCCATTCAGCGTTTGTAATCAATACGTAAATACGTAATTAAGTCTTTGGGCTGTCACGTGCTTTTATCATTGCCGGTCAACAAATCTAAATAGCGCTGTAGTGATCGAAGAGGGGGCTCTGTTATCAGGCTTCACCTGTGACAGGTGAGTTTGGCCAGTCACGGTTCTGTCGGCAGTACCAGGTCGAGTAACGGACGATCTATCCTGGGCACGATGCACGAAGCAGCTCGGGAGTGTCGCCTGGAACAGACGGGCTCCAATTCTGTCAAACCACAACTCGGCTATGGCTGATTTGTAGACTGTGGCTGAACTTGGACAGAAGGGGGAGTTTTCTAGCAGCCCCCCCCTTTGTTTTTGCCGTTTGTAGATTTCTAGAAGTTGCAGTGGATCGAGTAAACGAGCTGACATAATGTCACCCGTTCTTGTGGGGTTTGTCACGAGGTTTTCCGCTTTGGTCACTTGTAGCAGACCACGTTGTTTTGTCGTCTCTTGACTGGCTGTGTTTTAACCAGTGGTTGCAGATGACTGGTTGAACTAATGCATGTCAGTCTGAGCTCTTTGTAAATCCTGACTATCAAAGCTGTGCTTTAAATAGGGAGTGGGACGGTGTTTCTTTCAGGAATCAAGCCACAGACTCCAAAAGTGTAGCTACGTAACATAGTCTGCGATAAAGATGCTTCCAGCTGAGGGCTCCTTATGTTAACACCAGTTGTTCAGCCATTTGTGTTTTAAGACTAATGTTCTTGTAGATTTTTGCAACACTGTGAAAGTGAGGAAGTAAATGTTGGTATAAAAGAGTCTTTGTCCTTCTCCACTGTCTCAGGCCTTTGGTCAGTTTGATGCGGAGGGGGATGGAGTGGTGGACATAGAGAGCATGCTGATTGCTCTGAAGAACTCCAATGGAGCTAATCTGCAGGGAGAGCTGAGTAATGTGATAAGACAGCTTCAGGCCTGCTCGCTTACCCCAGGTACGATACATGATTTGTTTACCCGGATAAACAAACTCGACCTTATTTGAATCAGTGCAGCCAGCGTGTGGCCGAAAAGTTAACCCGTTCATTTCTCTTGTGTTTTCCTTTCCACAGGTTTTGTGGACATATTCTCCAAGACCAAAGACCGATTAGGAGCACACGCCTCTAAAATTCTAAAGTTCTTACACAGGAATCGTATTCCCAGCAGTGCCATCCCTTTCCCAATTTTAGAGGGCTACAACAGTATCTGTACCATGAGGTCCAGTGTGGTGCAGGACTTCTTGGAATTCCTCTTGCAGAAGGAGAAAGGTGAGCATGAGTGTTCTCTTTAGTAATTTAAGGCTAAATGCACATCCAGCAGCGCCACGCCTGTGGTGAGGCTGTCCTCATGTGAGTTTTTCTTTCAGATTTGGATATTCAGTACAGAGCAGAGCTGGACCGTGACCCAGACGTAGACATGGTCAAGGTCGTCACTCAGTGCTACAGCACAATAGAAGCTTCGTCCAATGTTGCTGACATCTACAAGATGACAAATGGGGAAACGGCGTCTTTCTGGCAGTCTGACGGCAGCGCTCGCTCGCACTGGATACGGTAAAAGGCAGCTGAGTTTCTGATGTTTCTAAGCAAGTCTATTAACAGATCTAAGGTGGAAACTCATCTCCTTTCTCCCTTCCCAGACTAAAAATGAAACCGGATGTTGTTTTGAGACGTTTGGCCATTGCCGTGGCTTCTAATGACCACAGCTATATGCCTCAGCTAGTGTCAGTTGCTGTGGGGAAGAACCGGCGTTCTTTGCAGGAGATCAGAGACATCCGCATCCCGAGCAATGTCACGGGCTATGTAGCTCTCTTGGAGAATGCCAACATCACACACCCCTGTGAGTCACCATCTCACTGATGCTTCTAGGTCACACTATCACCTGTCTGAACATAAAGCATGGTGTAAGCTTCATATGAGCTTTGTGGGGTCATACAGTTGTGCCTCCTTATTGGGTCCACATGCAGGCTTCCACAAGCTGAAGATCGAGGGGATCCAGTCCAAGAGAGAGTCTGTTTTTCAGCTTACAGGCCTATGTATGCTCCACATGTGCTCCTTTTTAATAATCACACACACACCTAAAAATCGTAGCTGTGCTTTGCATGTATTGAGGTCCCCATAGTTAAGTCATGTGTTTCACATGTGCCTCCCTAATCAATATTTATTCTACAGTATCTTCAACGGTGCTCTCCTTTCTTTCCTGTGGGATGTATCTGATTTTTCCGTTAACCACATAAACTTGTCACTAAATCCCAGACATCCAAATCAACATTAAGCGGTGCCTGAGTGATGGATGCGACACACGGATTCACGGCTTGAAGACGCTGGGTTATCAGATTACCAAGAATAAAGAGATGTCTGTTTCGGATGCTTCAGCCGTCTGGTACCTGTCTCTCCTCACCTCTTTGGTCACTGCGTCCATGGAGACGAACCCTGCACTTGCCCAGACCGTCCTTCAGAGCACACAGTAAGATGCAGAGCTCACTGCATGTGTTTATTGACATCACATTTGTAAGATTCCTACTGATGCCACTGGTTTCTTTTGTTGATTCACTTTTAGAAAAGCCTTGCGTCACATGCCGCCATTGTCCCTTACACCGTCATCCACAGAGTTCCCCAGGTTCTTTTCTGCGAACATCTTGGAGGAGGTGGATGGATTTCTCCTCAGGATAGCAGAGTAAGGCATTGTGGCACGGACACCACACTGAGCTCACCATGCTGACGTCATCTCAGTAAAAGCGGGTGGAAACAAAAATACTGGTTAACTGAGGCGGCGACACACTTTGTTCCATTTGGTGCTCTGCAAATCTAATTCTGCCGACAGAGGCAGAAAAACATTGTTTTTTCTACTCTTAGATATGTATGATGTCACTAAGTTATCCCTAATCTGGTCATCCATGCACACTGCTCTGTGTGCTTACAAGTCCCACGTGTTCTGTTCTCATAGGCTGAAATGAGGAGGAAGTAAAACAGCTTGTTTAAGGTGGAAACATCTACTTGTGTAGAGTCCCTTTATTAACTCTGTAAAGCCACAACCATTAATTCACCGTCAGGAAATTCACATTTTTTAACCTTCTGACAAATTTAAAACAATTTAATATCAGTTTGCATTTACGATTTCCAATGTGTTGAATTGTTGCTAGAACTACTCGATCCACTTGGGTTATACAGGAAACACTTCCTAAGTTCAGCTGAGGTCAGGTGTGGCCTTTGAGCCTGCGGTGTGTGAATAAAGCTCTGCAGTCAGTTTAAACAACAACACAGCAGGCACATGCTGCTGAGCGTGTGAGCATGGCATTAGAGCTTATATAAAAAAGGAAAGTGTGCGCTGGCACGACAAGTTTGACTCATGGCAAAGTATTTGTTCTCCTGTGTGCAGCTGCTGTGTGAGTCCTGATGTAGAGCTGACCCTCCTGGCCTTCGCCCTCGCCAGAGGGAGTGTGGCAAAAGTCATTCAGGCCCTGTCCTGCATCAGTGATCATTTAGACACCAAGTACAAGGCCTCGCCTCTCATCGTCTCTATGGCTTCGGTCCGGCTACGACTGCTGTATCGCAACGGTAACGTAAACGGCTCTTCTTTTCCCCTTCTTCACACGAGGACGTTGAAATCTGAGAAAGTGCCATTTCTGAGGAGGAGTTGCATTAGTGGAAAATTGCTTCTTCTTTTACAAAGCTGCGCTGCAGTGTGCTGATTACTGCCTTCCCGTCCTCCAGTGTAGTAACAAAGTTGCAACGTAATGGAACGCGATCATATGATTAAGTGTGCTGTGATTGGACGTTCTGGCTTATTACAGGGAAGCCGCTCCAGCTGCACTTACAGGCCTGTGATGTGAAGAGCAAAGATGAGAAATCAGGACCAGAGAACATGCTAACAGAGTACTCCACTGGAGATGGTACAGCTGAGATCAATAACGACTGTTCTTCAGATTGAGTACAAAATCAACATGATGTAAAGTGCTGCTGGATACTTTGTCCTTTGCAGGTTTTCTCACAGAAGCCGGCCGTTTGAAAGCCAGCGTAATCCTCTCGACGGAGGACCAGAGCAACTTCCAGGTCACTCAGATAAAGATCAAAGTGAGACGGCCTATAATTTTACCATTACAGTGCAAAATACAATAACCTAGAGAGTGACGGAGGATTACGGTGCTGCAGGTCTTACACTGTGTTTGTGTGACAAGGT